TGTCTATTTACCACCACAAACCAATGCTGGCATTAAGATTGCACTGAATGAGTTGTACAAGGCCATTAATCAACAGGAAAACGCTCATCCAGATGCAGCGCTCCTAGTAGCAGGGGACTTTAATGCAGGGAAACTTAAATCCGTTCTACCTAATTTCTACCAGCATGTTAAATGTGCAACCAGAGGGGAAAAACTCTAGACCACCTTTACTCCACACACAGAGACGCATACAAAGCTCTCCCTCGCCCTCCATTTGGCAAATCTGACCATAACTCTATCCTCCTGATTCCTGCTTATAAGCAAAAACTGAAGCAGGAAGCACCAGTGATTCGGCTAATAAAAAAGTGGTCAGATGACGCAGATGCTAAGCTACAGGACTGTTTTGCTAGCACAGACTGGAACATGTTCCGGGATTCTTCAGACAGCATTGAGGAGTACACCACATCAGTCACTGGCTTCATCAATAAGTGCATCGATGATGTCGTCCCCACAGTGACCGTACGTACATACCCCAACCAGAAGCCATGGATTACAGGAAACATCCGCACTGAGCTAAAGGGTAGAGCTGCCGCTTTCAAGGAACGGGACTCTAACCCGGACGCTTATAAGAAATCCCGCTATGACCTCCGACGAACCATCAAACAGGCAAAGAGTCAATACAGGTCTAAGATTGAATCATACTACACTGGCTCTGACGCTCGTCGGATGTGGCAGGGCTTGAAAACTATTACAGACTACAAAGGGAAGCACAGCCGCGAGCTGCCCAGTGACACAAGCCTACCAGACGAGCTAAACCACTTCTATGCTCGCTTCGAGGCAAGCAACACTGAAGCATGCATGAGAGCACCAGCTGTTCCGGACGACTATGTGATCACGCTCTCCGTAGCCGATGTGAGTAAGACTTTTAAGCAGGTCAACATTCACAAGGCCGCAGGGCCAGACGGATTACCAGGACGTGTACTCCGAGCATGTGCTGACCAACTGGCAAGTGTCTTCACTGACATTTTCAACATGTCCCTGACTGAGTCTGTAATACCAACATGTTTCAAGCAGACCACCATAGTCCCCGTGCCCAAGAACTCTAAGATAACCTGCCTAAATGACTACCGACCCGTGGCACTGACGTCTGTAGCCATGAAGTGCTTTGAAAGACTGGTCATGGCTCACATCAACAGCATAATCCCAGAAACCCTAGACCCACTCCAATTTGCATACCGCCCCAACAGATCCACAGATGATGCAATCTCTATCGCACTCCACACTGCCCTTTCCCACCTGGACAAGAGGAACACCTACGTGAGAATGCTATTCATTGACTACAGCTCAGCATTCAACACCATAGTGCCCTCAAAGCTCATCACTAAGCTAAGGATCCTGGGACTAAACACCTCCCTCTGCAACTGGATCCTGGACTTCCTGACGGGCCGCCCCCAGGTGGTAAGGGTAGGTAACAACACATCTGCCACACTGATCCTCAACACGGGGGCCCCTCAGGGGTGCGTGCTCAGTCCCCTCCTGTACTCTCTGTTCACCCATGACTGCATGGCCAGGCACGACTCCAACACCATCATTAAGTTTGCCGACGACACAACAGTGGTAGGCCTGATCACCGACAACGATGAGACAGCCTATAGGGAGGAGGTCAGAGATCTGGCCGTGTGGTGCCAGGACAACAACCTCTCCCTCAACGTGACCAAGACAAAGGAGATGATTGTGGACTACAGGAAAAAAAAGAGGACTGAGCACGCCCCCATTCTCATCGACGGGGCTGTAGTGGAACAGGTTGAGAGCTTCAAGTTCCTTGGTGTCCACATCACCAACGAACTATCATGGTCCAAACACACCAAGACAGTCGTGAAGAGGGCACGACAAAGCCTATTCCCCCTCAGGAGACTAAAAAGATTTGGCATGGGTCCTCAGATCCTCAAAAAATTCTACAGCTGCACCATCGAGAGCATCCTGACTGGTTGCATCACCGCCTGGTATGGCAACTGCTTGGCCTCTGACCGCAAGGCACTACAGAGGGTAGTGCGTACGGCCCAGTACATCACAGGGGCAAAGCTCCCTGCCATCCAGGACCTCTATACCAGGCGGTGTCAGAGGAAGGCCCTCAAAATTGTCAAAGACTCCAGTCACCCTAGTCATAGACTGTTCTCTCTGCTACCGCACGGCAAGCGGTACCGGAGTGCCAAGTCTAGGTCCAAAAGACTTCTCAACAGCTTCTACCCCCAAGCCATAAGACTCCTGAACAGCTAATCATGGCTACCCGGACTATTTGCACTGCCCCCCCACCCCATACTTTTTACGCTGCTGCTACTCTGTTAAGTATTTATGCATAGTCACTTTAACTCTACCCACTTGTACATATTACCTCAACTACCTCAACTAGCCGGTGCCCCCGCACATTGACTATGCAACGGTACCCCCCTGTATATATAGCCTCCCTACTGTCACTTTATTCTATTGTATATATAGCCTCCCTACTGTCACTTTATTTTTACTTCTGCTCTTTTTTTCTCAACACTTTTTTGTTGTTGTTTTATTCTTACTTTTTTGTTTAAAATAAATGCACTGTTGGTTAAGGGCTGTAAGTAAGCATTTCACTGTAATGTCTGCACCTGTTGTATTCGGCGCATGTGACCAATAAAATTTGATTTGATTTGATTTGATTTGACTAAATACTTTTTTCCCCCACTGTAAGCTTGGCTTCTTATATGGTGGCGAGTAAAGCTTAAACCATGTATTTAGATTGTAGGTAGGTATTGTAGTTAGGTATTGTAGGTAGTTTATCTAGGCAGTTATTGTAGGTTATTATTGTAGTATTGAGCCCGGTGAAGCACGAGGCTAGCTAACCCACTACCTGGACCAATAAAGCTAGCTAGCTAGCGGGTAGCTACTGGTAACTATTAGCAACTGTGGATAGTTGTTTCCAATGTTATTTCACGCTTAAGAGTACCTGTAATTATGCCAGCTAGCTACCTACCATTCAGCTGTTTTTCTAACCTCATTATCTGAAGCGTTAACGTTAGGTAGTTAGTAGCTACTGTACTCGAAATGTAGGTAGCTTGCTGCTACCTGGATAGCTAACTAAACAATAGCTGGAACGACCTAGCTGTAATATTTGGAGACGCTTTCTTTCCATTGGGACAGACGCGAACTGGCTGAATCGATTCAGTGGCTAGCTTTGCACTTAACTGGCTAACAGTAGCTACTAAGGGTAAGTTATAACCTACATTTATTTTTGTTTTGTTTTTACATACTGGAAACCAGAGTCGTTCAAGGGAATTCGGGACATGGGTGACTAGTTAACGTTAGCTTGGCTCTCTCTGTGTGTTTCGTGCCGTGGGAGGAGGGGTTGGTTCGTTGGCAGAGAGCAATGGCTAGCTAGTATGCTAATTATTCTAGCTAACTAACTGGCTGAATAAGTTGACGACATACTCACTCAAACTGTCAAAACTAACCCAAAACTTTACACAACGTTAGACACGGACACGAATGATCTGTTTGGCGTGTTAACACACTGGTGGTTTGTTGTAATCGAGTATTGGTGCTAAACCTGTTATTGGAGGCTGGCATGCTAGTTGGCTATGGCGTCATAGGATTCGGTGCCCTGGACGGTTTTCACGGAAGAATACTGTACCAAGTTAGCTAGCTGAATAAACTAAGTTAGAGTCTATTCCTAGAAAACATTGAACCGCTGTAGTTTACAACAATTATAATTTCTAAAGTGGAAGTTGGGAGAGTTATATTTGAGTGTTTCAGTGAAACGTAAGTGAGGGAGTCCCGGCTCTCTCGCTTTCCCAGATGTTTAGTTCATTTCATTCCGATCTCCTTTGCATTATTGTAGCCTATTTCTGTAGCCTGTCAACTATGTGTCTGTCTATCCCTGTTCTCTCCTCTCTGCACAGGCCATACAAACGCTTCACACTGCGTGGCTGCTGCCACTCTAATCTGGTGGTCCCTGCGCGCATGACCCACGTGGAGTTCCAGTTCTCCGGCAGCCTCTGGAATTGCCGTTCTGCGGCCAACAAGGCAGAGTTCATCTCAGCCTATGCTACCCTCCAGTCCCTCGACTTCTTGGCGCTGACAGAAACATGGATTACCACAGAAAACACTGCTACTCCTACTGCTCTTTCCTCGATTACTTTTATACTATTCCAGGTATTCCTTAAAGAGGTAGGGTTTCAAGTGTCTCCTGAAGGTGGTCAGTGACTCCGCTGTCCTGGCATCGTGGAGGAGCTTGTTCCACCATTGGGGTGCCAGAGCAGCGAATAGCTTTGACTGGGCTGAGCGGGAACTGTGCTTCCATAGAGGTAGGGTGGCTAGCAGGCCAGAGGTGGATGAACGTAGTGCCCTCGTTTGGGTGTAGGGTCTGATCAGAGCCTGAAGGTAAGGAGGTGCCGTTCCCCTCACAGCTCCGTAGGCAAGCACCATGGTCTTGTGTAGATGTGAGCCTCAACTGGAAGCCAGTGGAGTGTGCGGAGGAGCGGGGTGACATGAGAGAACTTGGGAAGGTTGAACATCAGACGGGCTGCAGCGTTCTGGATAAGTTGTAGGGGTTTAATGGCACAGGCAAGGAGCCCAGCCAACAGCGAGTTGCAGTAATCCAGACGGGAGATGACAAGTGCGTGGATTAGGACCTGTGCCGCTTTCTGTGTAAGGTAGGGTCGTACTCTGCGAATGTTGTAGAGCATGAACCTGCAGGATCGGGTCACCGCTTTGATATTAGCGGAGAACGACAGAGTGTTGTCCAGACATTTTATAATGACAGACATTTTACCCATCACTCATTTTACCCCACATTGGCATAGAGGAAATTGATAGGAAATGTGTCACATCAAAGTGTTGATTTATACAGAACAGTTGGATTGGATTTCAAACAGTATGTGTGGGTGTTTGTATGCAGAGGGAGAAGAGTTGTGTATGGTTGGTTTGACAGTCCTCTCTGGTGGGATGACTCTGCCCCCTTGTGGTACACTGAGAAGGAACTAGAAATGCAATTTGAATGATGATGAGTTCCCATTCTTTTATTGTCAATGCCATGAGTACCCTCTGTGGTCTGGTTCGTTTTTAAATTGAGAACATTTCTAGTACAGACAACAACACAGGTGACTATATTTGCTAAGGTATAACAAAACGTATATTTTAGAATCCAGAACACTCCCTTCTAGCCATGTTTTGACATTGCATTGATTATTATCTAATCAGTGTAATCAGTGCTGACTGGCAAAGAAAGCAACAAGATAAGACAGGCTTAATAAGCAAGATTAGTCAAGGCGAGATCAGTCAACTCAACAATACAATTTAGAACAACTTTATTACTCATCTAACAGCAGTACTATTGCCATCAGTAAACACTTTCACCAGCAGGGAGCAGTATTCTACTACTGTATATATGCAATGCAATTGAAGCAAGTCTATAACGTTGAAGACAAAGGATGAACAAGATGAGAATGGTTGAATACTTCTTAAAGTATTCTCAAATCTCAATGAACAGTGATTTTTAATTTAATTGGGAGAGTTAATTCAATTGTATTTATTGTAATTTGTTTGATATTTTGCTTCTCAGTATAAAAAGTTAACATACTGTATATCCACTTTGGCCATGGCAGTCCAGGTTTGATTTCTCTTCACTCAGCAAGAGAAAGGCCCAGGTCCATCCTGTGTAGATGTGCCCTGACCAGGAAAGCCCTTTGCCCTACTGTAGTTTGACGTCCCATGTTCAGTAAAAAACTCTTGACCTTCTCATGAGTAGTCCTATGTTATGATTATGAGTCCAACCAGGATGAAGACCCACAGCAGTCTGCTCCTAGTCCTTGTCCCTGAAGAGATACGATCCTCCCCTCTGGAGTAGGGCAGCAGTTTGTGAGAGCTGTAGGTTCCACTACTAGGTGTCCACAGGGAGCAGTTGTAAGGCTCAGTCCCAGCCTGGGTAGGAAGGGTACTCCTTATATTAAACAGCCCCTCTTCATCCTGCTGGCTTTCTGTGCTGGCGGACTCTGTTATATTCTCTGAGCCCAGGAACCAGTGTACTCTGCCTTCTGGGTAAACTCCAAAGAACTGGCACTCAACCTTAGACTCATTCTGGAACACTTTGTGCTCAGATGTCCTTAGGCACTCTGCAATGTTGAGGGAAAAATAGGATGAGTATTGAATAGTTCTCAAGTAACATTCACATAGCTGGAGAGCATCTTTAATAATTTAATTGCCATATTTGTGTAATATTTGTCTGACTTGCCTATGTGTCATTGTTGCAATTGCTCCCATCCTACAACAGCATCATCATTAGTTTTATAGGAGCATTATTCCTATACAGTATACAGACCTTGCAGTGTCACAGTGGTACTGGCAGCTGTGATCGATAGGTTGGAGCGCAGTTTGCAGACGTAGTTACTCTGAATGGACGGCATCACCCGAGTCAAAGTGAGTGTCAGTCTGTTGTTTGTGTTGTCACACAGGACCCCAGGAGAGGGGAATACACCAGTGGCATTGACCACACACAGCTCTTTCATTTCCCTTGAGTCTACCCAGGAAAAGAGAATGATCTTGAGTGGCCTCGATGAGATGATGTCACACTGCAGCGCCACATTCTGATCACACTGAGCCTTTACCTCAGCACTAGTTCTCAGCTCCACTTTACCTGTGACGATGGATAGAGAGGAAAACTGTTATATCTCCAGGTTTTGGAAGCTTTCCATGCTTACACACACTGTATCTATATTGTGGCCATAGCCAGTTCAGCTAGAGAAGAAGGAGTTGTGAGAACTTGAAGACATTTTGTTTCTGTAGAAAGCAGATCATCTCTACTCAGGTCTTCTCAAAGTGAATACTACAGATTGCATCTTTCTCTTTATCAAGGTCCTAGCCAGACAGCATGGATCTTTTGAAACAATCCCAGACACAAAAAATGCTTTGTACTTTATAATACTTAGAAAGGCCTGTTTTATAGCAGAATCTTATCCAATATTATTTGGAATATGTCTGTACTTTCTGTCTTTGCTGGATGTGACACATCCTTACTAAAAGACAAAAGATTGTTCCCTCAAGCAGCTTTTTTGCCTGGTAAAAAACAGCCAAAATATGTTTTTGTGCACTGTCTCACAATGTTAACAGCCACTTACTTTCACTGTTGACAACTGAAGAGAGCCAGAAGGCTAAGACCCAGCCAAAAAGGACCTCTGTTTTTCTCTGTTGTTTCATCTGCATTTAAATTGACATGAGTTACTCCAGACGGCACAGTTCACAGCTCAAACACATGGCTCTAAAGAGAGAGAAAGAGAGGATCCAAAGCAGTGTTAGTTTCTGATAGATATTATAGCAGTACTACTCACCATCTTGTTACAGCTCTTAAAATCACAGAGTCATCACTGTTTATGACTTCCTGACTTTTTTCCTGTGAGTGGTTTACTCATACCGATTTAAAGCACTTGAACTAACCTCAAGCTGTATTTAGGTCTCGCACATTTCTGAGCCAGAGGAGTGTCTCACATCTCAATTGTGCGATAACACGGATGGTTCCTCTGGGTTTATTTTCATGTAGTGTCAGGTTTGCACTAGAACATGTGCAGACTGGCCTTTGGTTTGAGTGAGGAAGTATGCTGATTGTTAAGGCAAAGGTGAGCAGTTTCAGATTACTTTTCAGTTTAACTTTTGTCAGTCATCTGAAAAGCTCTCTAGTTATTTTTATTCACTCCATGTTTGGTTTATTCCCTTATATGGAAATTATGTTATATTCCTTGTTTATTTCAGTAAACATAGACAATAATTAGTACTGTATTTCCCCCTTCTTCTCAAGCTTTAATCATGACATAAAGGGCATCTTATTGTAAAATGTTGCCCTTGAATTCCATACATTTCATACTTTTGTGTGTTTTATGACCTTGCTTCTACTATCTTCCATCTCTTGAATATTTATTGAGACTTCCTTGGTATTACTGTAGATATCATTAGTTTCCTTTTGTCCAAGAATAACATCTGGAGTGATACTAGAACACCCACATACCCAACCCTCAAACTTGTATTTTATTTCCCCCATAAACATTTTCCTGAAATTCCCCTAGAATACTCATATGGAATTATAGGATACTGAATTTGGACCAGACAAAAACAATGTTAGTTGAAGTCTTGAAGGTCAAAGTTGCTTAACTCTCACATATTAATAATTTATTCTTGTCTCTGGCTTTTGTCACTATGCAATACACACCCTCTCAGAGAAACTGACTCTATAGCATCTGTCCACCCACTTGTATTGAAAATAGATTGAAATGTAGTTCCCCCGACACATCTTGACAAACTAAGGGTATTTTAATTGTCCTTGAGTCACTGAAAGACATGCTGTTGTCAGAGGGAGGAGCGATTGTGTGACAAGGTGTGAATGAAGGAGTCAGGTGCAGGAGATAAAACACAGAAGTCCAGAGTTTAATCTGTTTACATAAATCAAACGCTCCCAGCGTGAAAACGAAACTAATACAAGGGAAATTATTCCACCTTGGCAAGTACAAATAGAAGAGTAGCTCAACCGAGCTACTAGCTCTCACAATAAACAATCACTCACAAAGACAAGGGGAACAGAGGGAACACTTATACACATACTAATTATGGGAATGATCACCAGGTGTGTGTGATTGACCAGACAAGACATGACAAGTGGAGTGATGAGAATGGGATCGGCAGTAGCTAGTAAGCCGGTGACGACGAACGCCGAAACCTGCCCGAACAAGGAGGGGAGGCAGCCTCGAAGGAAGTCGTGACAGATTAAGCTACAATCTATTCCTACAGTTGAATTACATACAGTATCCCCCTTAGATTGAGAGTTTTACCGCTTCTGAAGTCTTCATAAGTCTCAAGTTTACCTTCACATTGAATTCTTTCACAGTTATTATTGACCTTTCACACTTCCTTTTGTTTCATGAATCTCGTTATAAAATCTGAAAGAAAACCGGATAACTTTTATTGCCATGTTTATTTGATTTTTAAATTAGCCTAATGCGACTCCAGTATTTATCTTGGTCATTTTATGGAAACACTTTGCTGTTTAATCACGCAGATCTAATCAAAGGTCTCCTGGATTTTGCTAGAGAATGCATCAACCTCCAACAGTCATATAGGCTTTCAGCTGTAATTACAGACTATATCAAATCATTGCAGCATTACAATTGGCCTGCTGCTGTATGAAAGGCAGAAAGTCAACTTCGATTTAGTGGCTGCATTCAAATCTTTAACTTCATTGATAGCAGCACTAATAAAAGTATTACCCTTCAAAAAAGATGGGCCAAAATCACCATGATGGCCCTTTAGTGATTTGGGAGGGAATTAGAGCATGGCCTTCCTCATAAATGTTTTTGGCTGTGGTGGTGACTCTGTCAATGAGAATCCCTATGGGGAAGATAATCATTAATGTGCTCAGATTTCATAGTGATTAGCCTATCTTTATCACAGATCAGGGTAGTGAAACACTGTCCTCTTTCCTACCTGTGTGAGGGAACTAGGGCCTTAATCATAATAAGGAGGGCTTGTAGAGCCTTGTCAGTGCCCTGAGGGACATTCACATGGCCAGTGATGATAACCCACCCCTTAATTACTCACTCCCTGACTCATTCATCTGGGGTGGGTGGGGAGTTACACATGACACCTTGACCATGAGACATCACAGTGGTAGTAGTTATGAGTTGCCTTTGTCAAAATGAGTGAACATCAATATGGAGAAATGTATACATTAAATAAAAAAGTAAGTTATATGTAATTGCAACAGACAGTTTTAGCATAAGGAGTCTACCGGTAACCCGTCTGCAGTGT